AGGAGCACTTTTAAATTCTCAGCTTTAGGATTTTCAACCCATACATACATTCAGACAGCAAATCCACATGAGCCCTGTCTTATTCTAATGAATTATATGGAAGATATATCCCCCTCCACTAAGCACCAAGGTTAAGAAAATTTTTCTTGCTGTTTCTATGGAAACACAGTTTTCTCCTCTTTACTCTTTCCCCCTTTCAGGTTCGGCTTTTATGTACTGGTTCCCTATTTTAACGGTTCTTACATTGGTGGAGGGCGGGCTGCGTTTATTTCTTAAAGCTAACACCACTTGGATGTTCTTCTTGGATTCCTGCTTTCACTCTTTTTATTAAGTATGTGTCTAAAGATGCTTTGCTTTCTTAACCAGCTCAAAAAAACTTACTAAAAAATGTTGTAACCAGTACTTTTACTGTTGTTTATGTTCTCCTTTTTAATGTTGAAATAAAAGGACCCACTTGCTTTCAAGAACTTCTAAAAAATATCTAGTCTGCATTGGTACTCTTATTTTTCAGTGCCATTATTGATGCACTCTTTGTTGTTTTATTTTATTTTTTTATTTAAAAAAGGGTGTTCAGTTGCCCTTTTTTGTTGTTAAGACAGAGTCTTACTCTGTCGCCCTAGGTGGAGTGCAGTGGCGTCATTGTAGCTCACTGCAACCTCCAGCTCCTGGGCTCTAAGCCATCCTTCTGCCTGAGCCTCCTGGATAGCTGAGACTATAGGAGCTCACCACAACACCCGGCTAAGTTTTCTATTTTTAGGAGAGATGGGGTCTTGCTCTTGTTCAGGCCAGTCTCGAGCCCCTGCACTCAAGCAATCCTCCTGTCTTGGCCTCCCAGAGTGCTAGGATTACAGGCGTGAGCCACAGTGCCTGGCCTTAATTTCTACCTTTTTATAGCAGCTTAAATTTATCTTATGGCTGTAGTATCCTTTTAAGCTCACAATACTAATTATCAAACTTTCAGAAGTGTCTATTTCCTGTAACATCCTTCTGGTTTCTTTGCCTGCTCAGCTCCATCCTAGTCTTGGACTATTGATACCTATATGTCTGGATTTCATTTGTTCACATTCATAAATAAATACCAGGACAGATTAATAATATTCGCGTGAATATTAATAGTGATAACATTTTTTTTTAAAGACAGGGTCTCCCTCTGTTGCCTAGGCTGGAGTTAATTTCAGTGTAATTTTTGTATTTGCCTTTATTCTTAAATTTGTTTTTGTTCGGATATTAGAGAAGTGGTAAATAGGTACCTATGCTGCCAGAAATACATTATTTTTCCTTAATTTTATAAATGTTATAATAATCATCAGAAAGTTGGGAAAGAAAGGCAGTCACATTGGTTCTAGACATCTGTGAAAGCATTATCATTAATTGGAGAAATGAGTGTACTGGTCTTGTCAAGAGGTTTCTTAAAGTTATTAAGAATAACCACTAGGAAGTATACCCAGAAGCTGATTTAATGATGGTACCAGAGATGAGTATGGCTATGCCCTTACTTTTGCTAAATTAGGTTGCCGAAGAACGTGGAGTCTTGCATCATACACGGGGGTGTCTTTGCAGTAAGCCCAGCCTTTTACATATTAGTTGATTAGAAAAGAAAGTTGGAATACCAGGCACTTAAGAAAGTCATGATTGTCATGATTTTCCTGAGCCTTTTTGCCCTCTAGAAGGGAACATCTACTGGATGTTCAGTAAACAACATTTCAGATTGTAATGGTGTATATAATTGTAACCCACATTTCTGATTTCTCTATGTTTTTTTTGCCTCCAAAGATTTTTTTAAATAAACAACCAAACCCAAGAAAGAAGCTCCTTGTGCCTTGTGCACTGGATCCTCCCAACCCCAATTGTTACGTATGTGCCAGCAAGCCAGAGGTGACTGTACGGCTGAATGTCCACAAGGTGACTGTTCTCACTTTACAGGATAAGGTAAGTGCAAGGGCTTGTTCTCTTTTCCTTTTAAAAAAAAAAAAAATCCAAGTTCCCTTTTGTCTTTTTATACTATTGCTGTGATAACAAACTAAGGTAATTACTCTGAAAGCTTCTGGCTACTGAGGTATGTTGTTGCTCCAGTTTCCTGGGTTACTCCACCGTTGGGATTCCTGCAGGCTTTTCGGTCTGTGGTTCCAGAATATGTGCCACATATCCCAGAAAGGAATAGATGTATTTGGCTAGAATATGTACCACAGGCAGCACAGCAGTGGCACAGTATCATGATAAGCAGAAGACTGCTTTGCTCTTTGTTTCCCAGATAGTGGGTGAATTCTATAATTTTTGATCAGAGGTAAACTTGAATGGTCCTGGCCGTGGCAGTGAACAGATCCGTATTTGCATGCGGTGAAGAGTTTTGCATTTCCAGTAGAGCAAAGCCCCAATTGCTAGCTTTGTATCAAAGGGTAGGGGTAACCTGCAGAGTTTTGGGTTCTGTGGATTATGGACTGTGCCCACTCTCACCAAATTAGGGATCTCTTGTCAAATCATTTCTGAGGTCTGAGTTGAGGCTTTGCAATGATACATGCTTATCTAATATGACCTGGTTCTGATGTGGTAAGTTAGTCCCTGAGGCTTTGCACACCTGGCTTAGCCTTTAGAGATGGAGTGAGGGAATTGAGGGTTTAGGATATGGTTTGGTCTTTAGGTTCCTCCTAAGTTGGCTAGATTATAGTTTCTTTATTAGGTAAGTTTTTTGTTTTTTGAGGTTTTTGTTTGTTTGTTTTGTCACTTTCCATTTTAGGATCACTTTGGATTGTTCCTCTGTGTCCATTATAAGGGTGCATATTTACATACCTCCTGAGAGGGGGGATAGTCCTTTTCCCAAGGGGAAATGCTCCTTGAGAGTGAATGGTCTTTCTCCCAGAACTAGTTCCACGGGGCAGATTGGTTTGAACTCATGTTTTGACCAGGAGAAGCAATAGGTCTAGCAGAGGGGTGGTTGCCTCACTTTCTTTCCTAGGAATTAATTATCTTTAGTATCTACAGATTCTTCAGCTTAAAGGTGATTCCTCTATTTATAGAATAATTAGACCTAAAGAGAGTTTGTCCATTCTTTTTTAGGAGCAGGCAGGATTTAACAGAATATTATCACTTCTAAACGCATCTTGGAATTTAAAGAGAGAAGGCATTTGGAAAGGGGGAGGTTATGTGAGAATCAGGTTAATGAGCAATTTTTCCGTCAGACACTTGCCATTCATTACAGGGTTGGCAGAGACTGAGATGAAGTATGTCAACTATATAGCCCACTACCTAATCTGCAGGGAAAGACAAAAGAGCAAGAGCCAGTCAAGGAATTCTCAGTCCCCTATTTGGAGGAAGTTTGATCTGATCTTCATCAATAGTCAGATGTAGGGATGGAACACTGGTGAATCCCCATGGCTTTCCTGCTTGTCGTAAGGGATCTTAAAGAATGACTTGGTCCCTTTCCAATAGAGGGGGAGGTAAGAGCTTCTATAGAAAAGAAACCTAGGGGTTTTTATGGTCTTCAGTTACCTATATTAATATTTTGAATCTGTGTTTTTTGTTTTGTTTTGTTTTTTTGTAGATAGTGAAAGAAAAATTTGCTATGGTAGCACCAGATGTCCAAATTGAAGATGGGAAAGGAACAATCCTAATATCTTCAGAAGAGGGAGAGACAGAAGGTATTATGTATTGCATTTATTCACTCCCCTCATGTGGGTGGAGACTGCCTAAAGGAAGGAGTGCACATTAGTTTATCCATTGACTGCATATGTTATTCAGTGATAGGGACGATGTTTGGTCATGGAGGTGCTCTTCCAAGGTGGCATTGCCTTGATGGGGTCACCACAGTTCCAGATTTCAGAACTCCATGTTGTCAGGGTGTCTCAGGGACTATTTCCCAATAACTCAGTACACAGATACTGACCATTTTCAGTGACTGCAATGCTCTTGTCCACTTCCAAGGAGCCTTCTTGCCTGTGTCATGGATCTTGGGAGCTAAATTAGTGATGAGAAGACTGTTCTAGCTGCTAAATCAGAGTGAGGAGGGTAATCTGAAGTTGTGAGAGGTTTGGTCCAAGAATGGGGAAGCCTTGATTGCCTTCTACTACTACATAGCAGAAAGTATTGCTGAAAATCAGTGCCCAGTTTTGGCTTTCTCATCTTGCCTTTCAGAAGTTCAAGCAGGTCACCATTTTGTTAGTGCGTTTGTTGTACAAAGTGCAGTACATTTGATTCTGTTGAAGCTTTTCTGGTGAGAATTGCATTGTAGTTATTCCTCCTTCAGACTATACTGGTTGGTCCGATTGGACTTAGAAGTTCTCACACATACCTCTGTCACTTTTGCAGCTCATGTCTTGGGTTACCATTGCAATTGATTTCTCCACATCCCAGTTTTTGCCGGTATACCATTACTTTCAGAGGTTCAAGGCACTGTGTATTGACGTATTCGTACCTATTTGTCCAGTGGTCATTTACTCAGTATATTTTGCCAGATCCTGATGGAGATTCAGATGTCAAGCCTTGTTTAATTTAAGGTTTACTGTCAGGATTTTTCTTGGTTGTAGTTGCTTATTGAGAAATTATTTGGGATATTAGGTCATGTGTAATTGGAGGCCATATTTTGGCTGGGTGATACTCTATTCTGGGAGTCTAGTTGAATGCTTAAGCCCCGTTGTAGCCAGCTGACTTCACACACACACAAAAAAAATGTTTGTCCATGATCATATGCTGTCCACTTAGTTCTAGCCAGCTTTTTCAAATGTTAGTTTAAAAATGGGAAATGGGTCAGGAATCTCAATGGTTTAAAATGTAGCCCTTTTCCATGGAATACATGTTTTACAGAGGGTGCTACAGCATTTATTTAAATATGTTCGGAGTTTTGTATTGTAGGCATGGTCTTAAGTATTCATAAATCAAGGATAAATAAGACAGCAGTCCTTGGCTTGAAGTGCTTTGCAACCTGGAAGGAGAGGGCGAGATGATCACCAGGGGGGTTTAGTAGTCTAGTACAGGGCTGTGCACTGGGGGGTATGAAGATGAAGCAGAAATGACATGTGGAAGAGAAAACTATAGCTACAGAAAGAGCACATACACACTATGAACTCAGGGAAAGTATATTCAGCTTTGTGAAGGGAGAGGGGGTCACAGGGGAAGGAGGACTCTTGGTTCAGAAGAAGTAAGTACCCTCTGGGCAGGAAAGGGAACATCTGCATTTGGAGAGAACGAGCAGCGTTTACAAAGGCATGAACTTGCGAAACAATCGAAATGATTTGGGGAATAGCCAGTTACTTGGTTTCACTGGAAGATGGGATATGACAGGGTTGGCAGGGGGTGAAGTTGGAGGACTTTCTGTGTCATGTGTAATGTCTCTTCCTCCTCTCACTTGGTCTCCCCCCTGCCCCCACCTGGGGGCCCAGCATTTCACTGCCACCAGAGTGTAAAAGTAATGTGGTTCAGTATAATCTGCAGTGTGTATATTCAAAAGGGTGTGAGGGTAGAGGCAGGGAGCCAGTTAACGAGAAGAAGAATGAGAGATTTTAATAAGACAGAGGCCGATGACAGATTTGAGATTTGCAGGGTCAGAATTTGGAGCACAGGTGAGGAGGAGTCGCATCATTAGGTCTGTGTAGGGCCGTTGCCAGGACTCCGGCTTCAGAGATGGTGCGAATTCACGAAATAAGAGCCCACACTGACTGGTTCTGTTTTGAAGATGGTGCTTCTAGGGGGTTCGTAGTCAGTGGAGATGTATGAAAAGGCGTGGAGATGGAAATCCGGGTAGGAAATAGTCTCCAAGGACATTCCAGATAGATTAAAAAGTCAAAACGAGAAATCTGGGAACGAGCTAGAAGAAACTTTCAGTATTTTGGGAGTGTCAAGGTAGGGAAAACCTTTCTAAGTATTTTCCTTACAAGCAATAAAAGAAATGATAAGCCATAAAATGTAAAAGGATTATGGTACTGAAAAGTGAAATTATGTAGAAAATTATGTCCTTTAAACATGATAATCAGAATTTAAAATACATTATATTGTTTACCTGTTATGTGCCAGGCACTAGGGATCCAGGTCAACAGATTCTAGACAGTCTGTGGACTGAGAGTTGTGAGGAGGGAGTGTAAATTGGGAGCAAGATGAAGAATCGGTTTTGTATGAGATTCGAATGCTTTCACAGGCCAGGAGAAAGGAGCATGTGAACACTCAGGACAGGGAGGGATAATTAAGGCAGGAAAGCCCTAGAATTGGAGGGACAGGGGGCGGGGTAGGAATGTAGTGACACTAAAAGTTCTACTGGAGGGTCGGTTCTTTATTAGAGTATTTAGAATTTATTGAAAAATGAAAAATCCATTTAAATAAGGTTTTCTTTTGTTTTTGAGTTGTACAGTTTACTAAAATGTTTACTGAGGTTGTCACAGATAACCTCTTGACAAGTAGAATATATTTCAGACAACTTTAAAAGTTGCCTCTGACTCGTCCAGGACTCCAAAGCTAATTTCGTTTGAATGGGAAAAAGTTCTCAGAACCTCTCAGTTTGGTGCCCTTGAAGTAGTTTTGGTAGTTGAGTAAATTCCTAAGTGCCTGATATTTTAGTGTATTAATTTGCCAGGGCTGCCATAACACGTACCACAGCCTGGGTGGCCCAAACAGCAGAAATTTATTTCCTCATAGTTCTGGAGGCTAGAGGCCTGAGATCAAGGGGCCAGTGGTTTGGATTCTTCTGGAAGCTTCTCTCCTTGGCTTGCAGATGGCCATCTTTTTGCTTTGTCCTCACGTGGCCTTTCCTCTGGGGGTGCACATCCCTGATGTCTGTGCATCCAAATCTCCTCCTTTTATAAGGACGCCAGCCAGATTGGATTAGAGGCCACCCTGTCGGCCCCATTTTAATTTAATCACCTCTTTAGCAAGACCTGTCTCCAAATAACAGTCACATTTCTGAGGTACTGGGGGTCAGGGTTTAAACCTTTTAATTTGGGGGAGACACGGGTGAACCCATAACATGGGTTTAGCTTTTTAAAAATTAACCAGACTGTTCCATGAAGATATAACTGAAGTATTAAATTCCTTTCACATTTCCTAGCTAATAATCACAAGAAGTTGTCAGAATTTGGAATTAGAAATGGTAGCCGGCTTCAAGCAGATGACTTCCTTCAGGACTATACTTTATTGATCAACATCCTTCATAGGTAGGAACTATCAATATTTTTAAGTATAAGAAATTACTCGAATATATAAACCAGAAAAAGTGGAGGAAAAAATGTTTTCTTACCCTTAAACCCTACTGTTCGTTTGAAATTGCATGGTCTGCTTGCTCAAGTTGGCCACAGAGTTCCCTAAAGGTTGACCTGCAGAACATTGAGAAATAAAAGGGATGAGCAAAAAATGGTCGGGGGAAACTCATCAGTGGCGGCTGATCGGAAAGACCTAGCGTGTAGGCCTTTGAGTAGCTCTCATCAGAAGGGGATTCATTTCCGTAATTGAACTGAAATAAACTTTTCAATTATTTTTAAAGTTCCCTAGGAGAAAGAATATTTCTTCCACAAAGCAAATAATTTTATTTGGGATTTTGTGACAATAGTAAAAGAATATTAAGAATTATCTTGTACAGATTCCTGAGTCATGTGTTTTTTCTTTTATTTGATTTTACATCCTGGCAACTTAAAAGACACAGTGCTTGCTCTATAGAATGTATACATGTATACGGCACAGTTAAAGTAGAAATGGTCCTCCACTTTGGTGTATTCATCTGTCGAGCAAGGTGCATTTTTGTACATGCTCACTGATACCACTGAACCGCGTCCTGACTCAGGAATTTGAACAAACAATAAAGGGTTGCGGTGGTGCTGCCGCCTGCATACACTTGTCTTGCCAGTATTGCCATCTGTGTACAGACGTAGTGTTTGAGGTCGTTGGGAGGGAGCTGCATTTTCTGCTTGATGTATAAAGAGCATAAAATGACAGGAACAGCCGAATGTGGGTTATTAGTAAGAAGTGTAAGTTTCAGAGTTACATCATAGTCAAAGGCAGATGTGCCAGGTTGTGGTCTCCAGCCTTGTGTGGACACCAGCTGGATGTAAGTGGTGTGCTTGTGTTCAGCGTGAAGGAAGTCAGTGGAAGGACATGTACAATAAAGTGGAAATGTCACATGGTGTCTAAAAGAGGAAGCATAATTAGGGTTTGTTTTTTTTTTAATCATATTTTTTAGCTTTCTGGGAACAGAACCCCCCTTAAAACATGTAAGTCTTCTGTTTGACTTTCATGCATTAAACTTCCATACCTGTTTTTGGAAACTTCGTTACAAAAGCAGGGTGCTACCTATAAAGATGGGGGGGGACCCAGAAACCATGTAACCCTACCCCTAAAAACAAATCACTGTAAACAAGATCAGGTTATGAATATAGTGTGTATAATTTTTTGACACAGTAGCTGAAGAAATAAAGTCTGCTTTAGCAATAAAAGTTATTTAGCTGTTTTTTCTTTTAAAGCCTTTCCCTGGTTTAAAGGTGCAGTGATTTGACCATTTCAGTTAGAGTTTTGAATTATCACAAAGATCTAATGCGTAGTCTTTTTTATTATAATTTTAGCTCTTCGAAAGTCAGAATCTAAATACTTGGTGTGTACATAGTGTATACTTGGAGCTTTGGGGAGCAGTATGTCGCTGGTGCTCCTTTGCTCTGTACATAGTCACAGCAGTAGTCCTGTTTAATAATGCATGATTCTCTTACAGTGAAGACCTAGGAAAGGATGTTGAATTTGAAGTCGTTGGTGATGCCCCAGAAAAAGTGGGGCCCAAACAAGCTGAAGATGCTGCCAAAAGCATAACCAATGGCAGTGATGATGGAGCTCAGCCGTCCACCTCCACAGGTGAGTCATGGCCCCAGCCAGCAAATTGTAAATTGCCCGCCAAGCATAAAGTAAAAATCCGTAAAACTACTAGAGATGTGTATTCGTTTGAATTGATTGTTATAAGGGAGCTTTGAGTGTATTGACCCTGAAGACATTTAAGACTGGAGGAGGGGGCGAGAGAGAGAGAAAGCATGCGAGCGTGTGGGGGTGTGTGTGTGTAAAAACGGGGTCTCACTAGTTGTCGAGGCTGGTCTCAAATTGCTGGCCTTAAGTGATCCTCCCACCTCAGCCTCCTAAAGTGCTGGGATCATGTGAGTGAGGCTCCACGCCCGGCTGGGGGAGATTCATATAGAAAATAAAAGCACTTACTTTTTGTTAATCGGTTTTTACAACTGGAAGTGTCAGTTTACTAGTGCCTAAAGTCAGTTCAGTCTAGGTAGTAGTAGTTTGGGATTTTGTATTCCTGTTTTATTTAGGAGCAACAAATCTCAATGCATCTGACTATTTTGAGTAAACATGCTTGGTGAGTATGGAATTTTAATATTTTAGGGTTTCCTCATAACCAGTGTGACTTGGTGAAGTGCACTAGAGAGATCTGTTCCCCGGGTTCCAAGGCCGGGAACTGGGGCCTTTCCAAAAAACTGATTTTTGACTGTGTTCTGATTTGAATGTTTATTCCCCGTCCCTTTATTCTTTAGTTAGGAAGTCGAGGTTACCAATTTTTTACTTCTCTATTTCTGTGTCTTTGGTATGTATTCTTTAGATTATGTTTACTCTTGGATCTAATGTTCTCTCGAGAGTTTAGGAGACAGACTTTTAGAGTGTGGTCCACCTAGGGGCCATTGGTTCATGACCTGCTTTTTCCCACTGAAACTAGAAAGCTTCATCATCCTCCTTTAAGGAAGGAGGCTATGGTGGTTTTTTAAAAATCATAATTTGAAATATGTATTCACTGATCATCTACTGTGGGTAGGTTTTAGAGGTTACAGCAATAAGCTAGGTGTTCTGCCTTTGATTTTGGTGGAGGGGGAGATGAAACCACCTTCAGTGTGAGGCTAAGAGTGTGAACTGTGGCGCTGTACCGCATGGGTTTGGATCCTGGCCTCGTCCTCTGCTACTGTGTGAGCTTGGGAAGTCAGTCTCTCTGTACCTTGGGTTCCTTTTCTGGAAAATGGATAATAATATTATCTTCTTTATAGGGTTGTTGTGATGATTAAATGAGTTGTTATATGCAAAGTGCTCAGAACAGTTCCTGGCACATTGTAAGTGCTATATTTTGTTATTGTTACCACCACTACCATTATTAGAATATGCACCCTCCGCTTTTCTGCTGGAGAAGGTAGAGATAGAATCAAGGAAGTTTAATGATAACTTTGAGTTAATAATGTTTGTTACAAGTTTTTGTTTTGATTAGAAGAGAAATGGGTGCTTGTTATAAAACATTTTAAATAGTATGGAAATATGTGATGTGTAAAGTGAAGATTCCCTAAGGGTAGCCATTCTTAAGGTTGGTGAATATTAGAAGAGTTAGCTTTCAATTAAATAAAATATTGGTGAGTCACTAGTAACTCCACACTTGTAACCACTTTTTTCTTTTTTTCTGAAATAAGCACAAGAGCAAGATGATGTGCTCATAGTTGATTCAGACGAAGAAGGTTCTTCAAATAATGCTGACATCAGTGAAGAAGAGAGAAGTCGCAAGAGGAAATTGGATGAGAAAGAGAATGTCAGTGCAAAGAGGTCACGTATAGAACAGACAGAAGAGCTTGATGATGTTATAGCATTAGATTGAACAGAAATGCCTCTTGACACACCCTCTTAATACATTAGCTTATTTGGGCAGAACCAGATTATTTGTTATGTCCTTTGTTCCAAAGGGAAAAAATTGACACCAGTGACTTGAAAATGATTCTGCTCCCTTTGAAAGCATTCATTTTGCTAGAACTATTAGAAACATTACGGTATGCTGTATTGAAAGTAGGAATAGAGTTTTAAAACCCTTTGAACAAAGTGTGTGCATAACCAGTCATGAGATGAAACAACACGATGCATGTTGCCTTTTTAATGTAAATATCCTTAGGTATCATTTAATAGTTTCAAAATATTGTGGTTTAGTAAAGTTGATACCTGGTTATAAATATTATGCCTTTATTTTTGGCTAGAAGAAGAATTATTTTTAGCCTAGATCTAACCATTTTCATACTCTTACTGAAACAGATTCAGAAAAGTATCAAGTGCTATGCATTGAAACTTGTTTTTAAATGTTAACTGGCACTATGTATATTAATGTAAAACAATGTTAATGTACTCAAGTTTTCAGCTTGTACTGCCTGGTATGTCTGTGTAAGAAGCCAATTTTTGTGTATTGTTACAGTTTCAGGTTATTTATATTTGATGTTTTGTAAAACTCAAATAAGACTATACTTATGGACCAAATAAATGGGCATCTGCATACTTGTTACACAGGCCTGCACAATTCCTATTCCTGCCTCCTTGAGTTTATGCGCCATATCCACTGCAAGCATGCTGAATTCTTTCCGTTAAAAAAATTAGCTCTTAAAGGGTGGGAAGGTTTAAAAGATCTCTACTGTTTGCCATAGATGAGTACCTTCTAAAATAAAGCTTCTGCTGGGTGCAGTGGCATGCGCCTGTCTGTAGTCCCAGCTACTTGGAATGCTAAGGCAGGAGGGTCACTTGAGCCCAGGAGTTCAAGGCCAGCCTGGGCAACATAATGAGACCTGTCTCTAAATAAGTAACTAATAAATAAAATAAAGCTTCTGATGGCAATGTTTTTAAAAATTTGGATTGTCAACAGTTGGCCTTTTGGCGAGAACATGTAAGTGTTCTTTGCCCAGCCCTAGTTAACTTGGAGCCTTGGATTTGAGATACTAGACAGGGAGTCTTTCCTTTCTGCAGTCTTTGGGTTGTCCCCTAGTTTACCAAAGTCCCTTCTTAGTGTACCATTCATGGCCCAACTCCAGCCTACAACTTGCCAGACCAGTGTTGGGTGGAGTAGCACTCACATCTTCCTTGCCTCAGGAGCCTTGGCCCTTGGCATACTCTGATCACACAACAGATGTGCCTTGTGTTTTCAGAGAACAGAACCTCATTACAGTTTTGATAAAATCCTTCGTTGTATACCTGTGCCCTTGGTTTTTTGGGCAGCAGTCCTTTTACCTATCAACTAAGTTTCAAACTGATAATTCATTGTATTATACTTTGTGTAATTCTTACTCTGCCATTCAGCTTATTAACTCTCCTTGTTTTATACCAATTTGTAAATTGAGCATGAAGTACAGCTTTCAGAAAAATCATGTTGAATAGAGCCCTCAGGAGCAGGCTGCTTGATGCCTTCACTGTGGACCGACTTCCAGCTCGAGGGCCCTGCTAGCAAGCTGGACCTCCATCCGCAGCTCCGTGAGCCTGTGAGTTTCTCTCTGCTTTCATGTTTTTAGAAGGTGTTTAATTTCCCTCTAGAAAAAATAATTTCAAGTAACAGAACTATGTTAACAGATAAAATGAAATAATCTTGAGATGCCATCTTAATTTAGGAATTTTTTATTTTGAAAAGCTCTGTAGAAATTTCAATTCTGAAATTCCCTTTAGTCTTTACACCTTACCGTGTCTTTTAGACACAGTTGTCAACAGTGTGTTTCTGGTATTTTGTGTTTGTTCTTTTGTTCTTTCCCCTTTGAACGTACATGGTAACAAGTGCCAGTTAGATCTGCAGAGGTGTTTCTATTTTGGTAGACATTTCTACCTGTTTTGATAAAATCCAGGTTTATCAGCAAGGCAGGTCTGACTACTAGGTGCAGGGGTCTGTCCATCTGGACAGTAAACCAGGCAGATCCAAGCTACCTCCTTATCCCTGGAGGGTGGAGATACTTCAGATCTTGCCTTGTATTCATGGTTTTCCCATGTGAGTTGTCTCATCAGTGGGGAGCTGGGAGTAGGGCTTGTCAGGGTGAAACACCAAACCCGGCCATGACTAACAATTCTTGTGCCAATTGGAAATTTGAAAATGGAATGAGTGTAGGTAAGATAAAACTATTTTGTTAGATATGATAATATTGTAGTTATTTAGGCCAGTGTTCTTATTTTTAGGATATTAGGGATAAGTCTTCAAGACATGTGCAACTTAGCCCCACGTCTGTAATCCTAGCAGTCTGGGAGGCCGAGGTGGGAGGATCACTTGAGCTCAGGAGTTCGAGACTAGCCTGAGCAGGAGTGAGACCCCATCTTAACTAAAGATAGAAAAAATTAGCCAGGCATGGTGGCATGTGCCTGTAGTCCCAGCTACTCAGGAGGCTGAGGCAGAAGGATCTCTTGAGCCCAGGAGTTTGAGGTTGCTGTGAGCTAGGCTGACGCCACAGCACTCACCTGGGCAACAAAGTGAGACTCTGTCTCAAAAAAAAAAAAAAAGACATCTACAACTTTTAAATGGTTTAGCAAAAATTTGGAGAGAAAAGATAGCAAAATTAACATTTATTGAATCTAGGTAGAGTGTATATACATTTTTCATTGTACTGTCCAGCTTTGAAAACTTTGATAAAGTGAATACACACACACATATTAATACATACACATGCAGTCTATTTTCCTTTTGTGCCTATTTAACTTTTCCAGGTTTTATATTGAGTATATCCTACAATTAAAGTCAGAAAGGCAATAAAGATTATTAAAAATAGAAAAATATGAGAGTGTTTTGGATTTTCCTGGGTCTGACATCGATGAAGTCAGCTTTACCCATCTTCCTTGTTGCCAGGCTGTGACTTAGGAAGAATTCTCTTTCATTTGCGTCTCCAGAGAACTGAGAACCAAGTTGTTCCCACTAGGTTAATGGCCCACTCAGAAGCTGCCAGAAAGCATTTGATTCATAATAGATGTTCCTGTTCCTGAAAATTGCCCGTCAGTGGCACACATGTCTGAAGTGGTCTTGCCCTGTCGCCAAGAAACAAGGACAAATTTAAGCTATTTGCTAGTCTTTTATAATATATAAAAATATTAAAAGCAAAAGAAAGCCTCAAGAGATCTGGGAAGAAAAATGTCGGCAGATCTTTGTAATCATAACCTGTAGAGGTAGGGAGGGCCTGCCTTCTGTTTCTTTGCATTTTTAAGCAATATTCCTGAGGTCCGGAATCTCCATTTGACCATTTTCAGGGAGGATATATTTAGAGAAGTATTTTTATAGATACTTTCATACTGGGAAAACATTATTTGCATTCTGCTCACAGAAGGAACATTTTTTCCTCTACATTCAACTCAAAACAAATTCCAGCCCAAAGCTTATTTGAGAAATCTCTGAACTGCTTTTGCTGAAGAAAAAAAGTCAACTGAGTTAAACTATAAGGGTCGCAAGGCTGCTGTGCAGTTTGGTTATATTTTGAAGACAATTATTTCCTGGTAAAATTTTAGAAGTGTTGCTAAATGTCTCTTACTCATGCCAGCTTTAAAAATTTTATTATAATAAGAAGTCTAGCAATCAGTGATGACTCATTAGATCAGGAAAGGTTCTGAGCAAAAATTGTAGGAGAATGTACAATGCTCAAGAAGGTCCTCAGGCTTTGTACTTTAGAAATCTTTGAACAGTTTCATCTCAGGAAATTTAGGAACTGTGCACAATATGCCTTCCAGTCATCCTGTGAACATGAATTGCATTCCCACTCTGTGCTGCCCTCAGTGGAAAATGTTGCCAATGCCGTCAACCCGGGTGGAAACCTTTGAGAGCAGGAAGACACTAAGGACTGGTGTGCATGGAAACGCAACTTCTCATGCTATTATGGCAGAAGTAAGTGGTGGGTTGGGGATCTGAGCACCCACATCCTGTTGTGCTGCCAACCTGAGAGGCAGCCTTACCAGGTGGTCCCAGGGGCAGCTTCCAGGAGCTCTGAAAGTCATGCTCAAATACGTAATACCAAAAGCTCTCCTCATCCGAGCATCCCCAAATAGGTCCTCCCCAGTAAGCTAAAGACTGGCTGGGGTTTTTACCATGGTACAAAATTTGGGCAGAAATTCCCATTCCCGAGTGCATGGCAAAGTTTCAAAGAAAAGATATCCTCTTGCTCCTTGATAAAATGAGCAAGCTGCAAGTGTCATATCCTAACCCTAATTCTTAGATTGGGAAACCAATCCATGCATGGTTTGTCAATGCTTTGAATCTTCTTGTGCCTCCAGAGAGGCCTAAGGAGGTTACCAGGACCAGCGGAAGTTGAGGTTAGACTCAATCTGGTAGAAAGAGTGGGGCCTCAGATAAGAGGGGAAAGGGGATGGAAAAATCTTGAGTACACCCAAAGAAAACTCCCAGTATATTTGGACAGAACATGTACCTCGAGCCCAGTACTGTGAGAGGTGCAATTTATGCTGCAGGTGAGAGATTGGTGCTGCTCTCCCAGAAGGAATTCTATAAGGGTGAGAACTGTTGCAGGCTGAGGGGAGAGAAAGAACTGTGGATATCAGCAACGTCTCCATGTGCAGTTTGACTGCATGCCCTCCCCTTCCCTTAGCCCGAGGGATCCAGCCATAGCTGATGGATATGGGGCCCAAGAGTCTGGAAAAACCTCTGGATTATGTCCATAATCGGGGTCCAGGCAGATAAGGGGTGGTGGAAGCTAGGTTACAAAGGACGACGATAATGGGAGGATCCCTAAAAAACTCACCATAGTGTGGACAGTCTGGGTAGGATCAGCCCCTGGGTCCTCAGAAGAAGATGGTGGTTCAGGACATGGTATGAGACCGATTGAACACATCCTGTTGTAGCCTCCTGAGTGTGTCCATTTGCCTAAACAAAGGGAACTCAGGTTAATTTGAGAGGATGATAAACTAGAAGTCCCAGCGATTCTGTTGTGAAACCACTCCTTTCTCCAACAGTGAGACTTAGGCAGTGGGGTGTCAAAGCCTTTTTATCCTGGCTCGCGAGAACTGATGTGCCCATCTCTTCCCAACTTGGGAGGTGACCCCATATTGGTAGTTTGAAATTGGCCATGGCTGGAGTATTTACACCATGGTAATTGGCAAAGGCTGCAATTCCTCTCCCAAAAGCTGGTTGTTAAACATTTATCAGCACACTACAGGGCCCAGGAAGAAAATGGCCAGAGAGAGGTAAACACAAGGAACATTCCTACAGTAGTGGAGGCCAGAGAGGGCATCAGTGGAGGCTGGGCAGTAGTCCATGGACAATGCTTCAGATCCTTTGAGTTAGCCCCTGTCCCTCTCCTCCTCCTCCAACGTGGCTCTCAGACAGAATGAGCCAGTCTGCTGAGACCACTCAATGTGCCTTTAGGGAGGACACAAAACAAGATGGAGTCTGGAGAACAGTCAGGCAATACACAGATGAGATCCTACAGTTTTGAGTACTACTTTGTATCCACTTAACATTGGAATGATATGATTCCCACATCATTAAATTATTTTGAGTATACTTACTATTTAATGAATTTCCCACATCACAGAAGTACTTTATTCTAACGTGGAACGTTTAACATTTTATGTTGTTTCTGTTTCTGGGCTTTGTTATTGTTCATGTGTTACTCTTGGAGTCATGGGTTTTAGCGGACCCTGGACACTAACGTTGTTGAAACCACAAGGGGGTTTCAGTCTAGATCCAATTGCTTGTCGCACAAAGATCCAATCATTGAGACAATGAGGATTGCCAAGGGAGAAGGGACAGGGGGCTTGCTGGGAGAATGGGAGAAGCTGCATCAACTCTGTCTCCCTAAGGGATATCATGGGCTTTTAAAGGAGGGGCCATGTGCCTTGGGGGTGAGGTCCTGGTGTATCTTACAAGGGGTACCCGCACTGGGGGCAGGTTGTGGGGAAGGAAGAATCTTGGCGTCAGGAAATCTGCCCTGGGGCCTTCCTTCAGCATGGCAGCTCCTGCGTCTGGTAGAAAATCCATTTCCTGGTAGGTGTGGTGGCTCACACTTAAAATCCCAGCGCTGTAGCAAACAACTCAAAGGGTCAAGTAGTTAGTTAAGGGACAGGATTATTAAGAAAAAGATACAGGGGTTCATGGAGCTGGTTACACTAATATATTGTTTAAATCTTGAAAGCTCTAAGTGGGCAGGTAGGGATGAAACAGTTATTTAATATTAAATAACTGCCTTTAAAAGCAGAGAGCTCCCTCTGAGCTCCTTTTCGGAAGGTGGGAGATCCTAGGACAGCATAGTTTACGTAAATAATGTGCTCAACACTGTTGTGCCTAAGTTATTGTCTGCATTTTAGACGACTCCCCTTGCTCGAATAGATTGTTAGAAGGAGCATTATTACTGCTCCTAAGAGTGTTTTTGTTTGTTTGTGAGAATGCTGACGCACTGAATTGCTCTTCCGGAAAGGAGATCCCAACTTACGCTCATACACACCAGCAGCACGTGCGCAATTGTTTCACTCCAGACCTGACAATATTCTCATTTTAAAATAGTAGATAATGTAACAGCGAAATGTGAGATGATTTAACTTACTTTTCCTTTCTCATTAGAGAGGCAGACAGTTTTTCACGGAGTGGCTCCCCTGGATATCGGCCCCGCAAAGTGCTTGCTCCCAGACCTGTGCCCAGTGGGGCAGGGCTGGCATTCTGCAAGCTCTGGGAGGTGCCGGGGTCAGACGCTGCTCCACTGCCCGCTGAGGACAATGCGCCACAGCCAGACTGCACTGGTCAGTCTGGGCCAAGACAATTCCCCACGTGGGCTCCTTGCCCTCTGACATACTATGGGCACCTCCCCGAAAATCTCTGCGTGAGGGGTGCCTGGAGAAGAGGGAACCCTTCCACGCCAGACTGTTTTCCTGGATCCACCATGCTATGACAGATAACGGTTTGGTTTTCTCCCCTAGGGCTTGTGTTCTTGGGGACAAAGCCCTGGTCACTGCTCATCCTCTCCCACGTGGCCCCTGTGGCTCCACCCAGCCCAGGCCCTGTGGCAGCGAAGTGCTTTCAGGAGCGCCTCCTTGACGCCTGGCTCCAAACTCCCGAGGGCAAGAGCTGGGACCGGGAGCAGCCCTCGCCGTCCTACGTGACTGTCTGTGGCGGCCACAGCGGAGCCTGAGGCCTGCTTCCGGCCTGGTCTGGCCCTGAGGGCCTGCGCATAGCGGCCCGGCGCGAGGACAGCCCCCCCAACCCTGGCTCCCAGGTCTGGGCGCCTTCCCCACCAGCCCGGTGCGGGCTTTGAGGCCAGTGCGCTGCCACATGGCCCCGGGGCAGGCGGGGGTCGTGGGGTCACGCGAGGTCCCGAGGACGCATCTGTGCGGGGCACGCCGTGTGCTGCGGGGCACAGCAGCGGGCGCAGCGCCGTCCGCGCGAGGCTGAGCAGCCTGGTCTGCCCAGACACGGAGGCGGCGCTGCGAAGTCCGAAGGGGGAGGATGTGGGAAACGTCCGTCTCCAGCTCAGACTTCTCTGGCCCGGACTGGGGGAGCCGCCTCCAGCTCTCCGCGCTGGAATCCGGCATCTTTCCGGAGGCCCGACGGCTCGGGAGCGCGGCGGGCCCCGGGCTCTCCGCTCAGCGCCACCGCTGCCCGCGGGACCCCCGAGGGCCGGCCCCAGCCCGCCCGCCGCCGCCGCCGCGTCCCGGCGCAGCCTCCGCGCCCCTCCAGCTCCGGGCGCAGCGCGGCCCCCGCGGCGCCGCCACTCCCCCCACATTCCAGAGGCCGCAGCGCCGTCTCCTTCCTCGCATTCCTGCCCCCGCAAAGGAGTCCCTCCGCCCCCCGCACGGCCGCGGGGAGAGGGGGCGCGGCCCGGGCCTGCGAGCGCACATTCCTCCGCCGCGCGCGCCACCGAG